AAAAAAAAAAAAAAAAAAAAAAAAAAAAAAAAAAAAAAAAAAAAAAAAAAAAAAAAAAAAAAAAAAAAAAATGGAACGTTGCCACCCCTTAAAATTTAATATTGAACAAATGTGTTCGATGAAGACAAGTTCAACGAGCACAAAAGGTTAATAATATTGATGAAAATATTTTTAGAGGTTGCCACTAGTTTAGAATGTCCGAATTGTCAAGTTCGGTTTCTAAGCCCAATTCCTTCTTTTCTGAACCTTAGTGTGGAACCAGCGGACGGAATAAATTCTGAGCTTAACCAAARTGCGGCTTTACCCACTATGCACTTTTAACGGAAACTTTCATAAATTTTAAGAGTAAATTATGTACCAACTTTGTACAGGGTGAGCAAGTGAGATCAGCTCGGAATTTCATACTGATTTATATCTTTTTTATGGGACCTACTTTTTGGCAACTTGAAAGGCACATTAATTCAACTTGTTTACATACAATAAAATGATAACATTAAAGCCAAACATGCAGCTCGTCCATTGATGTTATCACCCTGCGTACTGTGAGCTCATGATTTCCATATTGACAGCAGACAAATACACGTCAAATGTAATTTGTCTCTGCCAAAATGCAATTAATCATTCCGCGCTAACCAAATGCCACTCTTATTGCTAATCAAATTACAACATTTCTGCATTGGCATCTTCTTTGGACTTTCGACTTAAACACTGCTTCTAAGGACCTTTCTTCAAGCAAGAAAATTGTGCCTTGGCACTTTGGGTGGACAAAAAAATTTTCATCTCCCATAAAATAAAGGAAATGAGTAATGCTAATAGCAATGGAAAGATGAGTGTATGTCTCGCTGTTTAATATGGAATTATGAAATATACAAGTGACAATGTCAACAGCGCTCACACACGTGCGATTTGYCTTAAATCTTTAGCCTACACCAGGGCGCTTGAACTTTGCGCGGCGCGTTTTCGCTTTGTTTTGCCATAAAACACCAAGAAATGTGACGGAAACCGCTTTTGTGTGCACACATACACACATAAAGAGTCATAGACACACAAACATATACACATATACTCTCGCCTACACATGAACATTTCTTCAAAACGCTCATTGTGTCTGCAGGTTTTTGTTTATCCATTTCCTTAGCGAAAAATACATTAATGCGCCGGCTGTCATTGCTTTCCTGTTTTTAATATTCGACATTTTCGTCGTCTTTCGCAGCGCTTTATCTTGTCMCGTTGCATTCTTGTAGTTGTTTCTTTCGGTTTATTTTTTCCGGATTTGCGTGTTTCATTGTTGTTGTTGCCATTATGTGTTGGTATTATGTCTTGTCTGTGTTGTAATTAAAAGCGTCGTTGTTGTTGTTGCTGATTATTGGGGAAATAAAAAAAGTCGTTCTGTTGCAAATACAACACGAATGACAACAACACAATTAACACCGTGTCTGCCATTTTGGGGTTTGCTTTTCACTTTAATCGGCGCATGGAATGCCATTAAAGCCTCACAGTTTGAAGTCAAATCCGTTTTTAACGAAACTGTGTTTTTCGAACAACTGGTTGACAACTGGCGCTTAAAAATCGTTTTCTAGATTTTAATTGAATTGACAAGAGCTATTTTCCAAAAATCTTGTAGTGTAGTTCAGTTCACCTAATGGTCGCTCGTATCACCTTAAACTCAACGAGATAGATATAGGGTTATGTCTACATACATAAATGGGCAGAACGCCGAGACGAGTTGACATCCAAGTGACTGTCTGTTTGTCCGTCACGGTGGTTGGTATTGCAGGTGGACGGATTCGAAAACTTGTAAAGGGGCGTAGCTAAACACCAAATTAACTTACAAAATGGTAATTTCGTAGAATAGCAATGACCAGAGAAACCTTTGGGCTAAAATGTTAAACACGATTACTCTCCGTATAATGGTTATGTTGAAAACCACCAAAAGTTCGATAACTCATAGGAATAAATGCGACACAAGCATTACACACATTTTACAAACATAATGACAAGGCAGGGTCATCGAGGAGCAATTTTAAAAGTTGAATACTGCAGATGGGAATGCCCATCTTTCATTGAAGTCCTATATCTCAGTCTCTACTTGATTGATTCCATTYATTCATTCAATTGTGGATTACCCAAAACTTCAAATTAAGCATTGAGAAATGGCAACCACGCCTACTTGCCTTAAAATCGCATTGAAGTCATCAGAATAAAAAGCTTTTAAGATATTTTTTACAACGCCTGAAAATTATCTCAAATTTATCTCTTATAGCGAAATAACCGCCAATTTTTGGGAACCGACGATCTCGGACCACATGAAATTAATAAACTTCACCATCAACTATTGTCCAAGGCAAGACAACAATATCTGAATAATTGTTTTAGATGAGACGAAATCGAGTTCTTATATGGAAACTTTGTCAAGGTTTTCCAGCTTCGGCGCRACCAAAGTTAACGCTTTCTTTTGACTCACAAACAATGGAAGTTGCTAACAACTAACCGGAACTTCAATTTTCCTCTCCCCATTAATCAAGGAATATACTTTTGAAGGTATCTRAATACAAACGACGGTAAAACAAGTAAGGAAGGGCTAAGTTCGGGTGTCACCGAATATTTGATACTCTCGCATCAAATACCGTATTTGTGTAAAGTTTTATTCCG